GCCAGCAGTCTGCTCACCGTGTAGTCTGCATCTCCGTGTGCCTGGAAGATTGGCGTCTTCATGTTGGCCTCGGACACAAGCGGAGGCTCCTTGCGCAGCGGCAGGTAAGTGCTCAGGCCTGGCATGGTCACAGGCAGGCAGACGGGCAGGGCAGGTGCAGAGGGCAGGCACAGCAGGCAGGCAGGCAGGCACAGCAGGCATGTCAGGTGCGCCTAGCAGTGAGTTGTAGGCACCTGCGGATGACAGACAGCCGGGCAGCGAGGCAGCAGCAGGTAGCTGACCAGGCCTGGCACAACATGAACAGAACTGGCACCACAGAAGGGCAGGTGGCAAGTGCAGCCAGGCACAGCAGGCAGGCAGGCAGCTGCTGACATCTAGCATCAACAGAGGTGGGCTCTGTGCGCATCACCAACAGTGCCCGCAACCTAACATAGACGCGTTATCGCCAGACAGCCGAGCACTGTACTTTGTGCGCATCCACCCCTGCCAGCTTGTGCTCTGAGAGCAGCAGCATCAAACACACAAACCCCAGCATGAACTGTTCACAGACACAATGTGTGCCTTGCCCAAAACCTCAGGCTGCAGCATGCCATGGGCAGCAGCGACTGAGCGACGCTCTCACGCGTTCCTCACCTATCACTCCCGCCAGCTTGTGCTCGGAGCGCAGCGCCATGAGCGCCACGGCGCCTCCCTGGCTGAAGCCCGCCACCACCACGCGCTCGCTGGGCACCCCGCCAGCAATCTCGGCGTCGATCAACTCCTCGATGTACCTGCAGGGACGCGCAGAGTAGGTGGGGAAGTGGGTGACGGAGTAAATGAGTGGGTGCATCAGTGATCGAGTCAGCAACAGAGCACGGCTGTGCAAGCACCGCTTACACCGCATGGCAGCTGGTTTGCCTGTCAGCTCGCTGGCTCGCCACTACTGCTGCAGTTTGAAATTTCAACTTCCCCTCTACCAGTCCCCTCGTCTGATGCTCCGCTCAGGGGCTGTGCTTGCGGCAACTGCTGCCCTGTTGTGCTGCTGCGCTTGGCAGCTACACTCAGCACGTGCGCCTGAGCTGTCTCACCGTTTGCTCTCATGCAGCCCGTCTTTGTCCTCCTTCTGGTCGATGTCCTCCAAGCTGGCTATGTCATACCAGCCAGGCATGCGCATGCCAAAGTTGACCGAGATGGGACGCTGCAGCGAGGAGCAATCACCGCGGCATGGACACGACAGGCAAAGTCAGCGACCGGCAGAAGCTGCATGACCTGTCTGTGCAAATGCCTGCAAACTGAAAACAGGGGCTGCAGGTCCCAGCTAGCCCCGCTGCTGACTTAAAGCCTGCTGATCTGCTGCCACCCTGTAAAGATGAATGCTCTGAACCTATCCAAGATGTGCTCTCGTCCAGAGTATTGCATGTTAAAATCTGAGCAGAGACAGGCGTCGCCGTTTCATGTTGTTGCCCCTCAGCTGGTGCCAGGTGCAGCCTGCTGGCCTGCTGCTGCCACCACTCGAGCTGCCGGCCGCAAGCATGGTGCTGCTAGTGCTGCCAGCACGCTGCACCTGTTGAGCAGCCTCATCAAAGCAGCTGCTACACTGTGCACGCCGCTCTCACGGGGCCCAGCCTGCCCTATTCAATTGCTGCACTTGTCAGCCTCAGCTGCTGTTGCTGGTGCACATGCTCTGCTTGTCGACACTGCCACCCACACAGGCCACCCAGCTTTCTGGCACATACACCAGACTTCCTGCAAACTTCCTGCAAGCTGATCATCAGCTCACGTTTGGTGCGTGTGGGAAGACAAACTTGACGTGCCGCAGCTGTGGGGCCCACTCGGCCCCAACAGGCGCCCAGCCATCGCCAGAGTCACCCAGGCCGTGCAGCATGATCACAGTGCCTGCAAGACATTGCAAGTTCAGCAGACCCTCGAAAGCTTGACACACTGCCAAGTCTGGTGCTGGGGGCATGCATACGATTGACGGTAATGCAATTCTGCTGCCTGCAAGCAAAAGCAGCAGTAGTCATTACATGCCCCAACATCCATGCGTGCTACTGCCCGCGTAACTGCAACAGACTGCAGTGATACTACACACAGCAGCAGAGTGACGCTGCTCATACGCATGCAGCCTGTTGTGATGTTGTGCTGCTGCAGGTGCAAGCATGTTGGGTGGCCATGGCGGAAACCTTTTATGCCTAAAGCAGCCCTGATGGGAATTGTTGCACACACCTGTGTGCTTGTCACGTGCATTAAACACGATTGGATCCCTATACTTGAACTGCTGAGTGGACATGTTGGACTTGCCACTGATAGATCTGACTGCAGTTGACGAGTTGACGCTGCTGTTCTTGCCGCTGCTGCTGTGCTTAATGCTGTTACTGGCCTTGCTGGTGTTTGCAGTTGTGTTCAGCGCCCTGCTCCTGCTGCCGTTGCTCAGTGCAATGCCTTGCTGCACTGGACTAGCAAGCCTTCCAACGCCTCTGGCAGCAATTGTATTCAGAGCTGCGGGCATCAGAAGGGCAGCCAGAAGAGCGAAGCACCAAACCACACCAGGCCAGCAGTAGCCTAGGGCTCTTGAGGGATAACTCAGCGCCACAGCCATACACAGCAGCTGCTTAGTTTTGACACGCAAGCTGTTGGAAAACATGCGCATGATCCCTCACAAAAGAAGTGCACAGACATAAGACACGCATGACCCGACTCTTCAGTTCCTGGCGTCTTCCGCCAATATACGTCGCTGCGCGCTGACTGAAAGACGCTTGCTCGCTTCGTTGCTTCTGCTAATATTCCACGAACCGCTCCAGGCACATTCTAGGTCCACCCTTCACCCCTTTTACCATGGCTTTCGCAGTCCGTGCTCCTGCCGCCGCGGCATTCATTAGCAGCAAGGTATTTTGAGTACGAATTGAGGATTGCTTGCAGGCAGAATGCGTCGCGCTGCGACCTGACCTTACCCTGCACTGCCAAACAGGTGGCAGGAGTAGCACCACGCGCACCACGCACACGTTTGGTGGTCCGGGCTGACAAGTAAGTGGGCAGGCTCCTAGGTTGACCACGCTGCTGCTGGTTCTTGTTGCTCTGCAAGGGCACCACAATGCATAGCATCTTCTCTTCTCCATGGTCTGCAGCGCCTTTGCTCCTGCTGCTTCTGCTGCTCCTGCTGCTTCTGCTGCTTCTGCTGCTCCTGCTGCTGCTGCTGCACTGCCTGTGGAGCAGTGCACCAGTAGAGTTGGCAGGCCTGCAGCTTACGATTTCTCCCGCACAATTATGCTTTGCAGGCCTGAGTACGACCGGGCAACTGGGTTTGTTGCTGAGGACAACAGCGGCAGGGCAAACATTTTCCCCACGAAGGTAACAGGACTTGAAACTCTGCAATGCACGGCAGCATTGCAGGTTTGCGTGAATCTGTTATGCTTTAACATGCAGCTGCTGCTGCTGCTGCTGCTGCTGCTGCTGCTGCATCGCAGTGGTGTTGCCAGAGCAGCTGCGCTAGACACCTTTTTCCGTGGCTGACTGTTGTGTGTTGCTGCGCCACTGCCGCCTGCAGGCACAAGCGTACATAGCAAGCAGCAAGTCTGATGCAGCTGCACGCCAGGGACTTGGCGGTGCACAAGGTGAGCGCAGCAGGCTGCTCAACACATTGTCCAGCGCCTAGTCCAACAGCCTGCAAGCCAATGTGCTGCCCAGGACGCCTGCAGCAGCCAGCAATGCGTAAAGGGACTAACGCAGCCATCAAGCCCAATTTAAGCTGGCATAAGATACAAGCAGCCAATAAATGTCACGCATCAACAGCCAGGGAGCAGCATGAGAGACAGGCAGGATGGATGGATATTGCAAGTCTCTGAAGTAAGGCCAGCTTCAGATTTGGCAGTATGTCTTTCCTGCAAGCCTGAATGTGCTGCACTTGCTGCCCCGTAGGTGGCATCCTAGTCGGATTTGTGATTGGCGCTGTAGCGCTGGTTACTGTACTAGGACTCAAGTCGCCCGGCCCTGAGACACTGCAGTCTGTAAGTGCTGCTGCTACTACTGGGCTGCCCTTTCTGGTTGAGAAGCGGTCAGCAGCGCAACCAGCTTACGCATCGCACACAGGACCAAGTCAACGCTGCTGGTATTATCGCACACCAGCATTCATATCCAGCACACTACAGCACTTGCAGGCACTGCATACCAGCTGCCTGCATGGCTGCCTACATGGTTGCCCTGCACAGCTAAACACAGCAGTTTGTGCACAGCTTCACTTATGTGTTCCTCCCGCACACGTTCTCACTCGCCTTGCTTTCTTGGCTCGGTGTCTGGTGCTGTTGCAGGTGGGCAGCACTTACGAGGGCGAGCCTCTGACAGCCATTGCTGCCCGCATCCAGAAGTCGCTGTGAGTTGCTCTGGTCTTTGTGGCGGTGTTACTCCGGATCTTTCACCAACAGCTGACAACAGTTTGGGTTGGGTGAACAATTTTGCAGTGGAGAGCAGCAGGGTCATGAGGCAGGTTGCGTTCAGGGCAGCAGTGGCTGCAGGTGCCGGGTCGTCTAGCAACAAGCAGCGCTGCTTGTGGCGGGTGGCCACTGCATTAGGCGAAGCATTGGCAGATGTACTGGTTAGCACTGCCGTTTCTGGTATGATGCGTTTGCATGCGGGCAGGCAGCGAGGTGGTTGCTGTGCAAATTAAATTGAACCTGTAAACAACTGAAGTGTGAGAGCACATGTTAGTTCTGGGGTGCGGCATGTCTCGTTGTCAGCCTATGCACTTGAAGCAGCTTGTCAAGTACCTCTGAGTTCGAGGAGCGCATGTAACCTCTGAGTGCGGCATTTGCTGTCATGCAGGGCGCTTGTATGGAGGTGTCGGTGCAAGCTTGTAGAAGTTGTCAGTGCAAGTCTTTGTCCTGTACTGCGTGGGTGTTGCGGTGTGCAGGTCCTGGTGCTATTGTAACACGTTGATATCGCCCAAGCATGAGGATGCATGCTGTGCACGCCCTTTGAAGGGCGCATAACACTGTTAACTGAAGAAGAAACCACCAAAACACGGGCGACATCCGCAGCGGGACTCGAACCCGCAACCCCTTGATTAGAAGTCAAGTGCGCTATCCATTGCGCCATGCGGACATAGTGTACACTATGGAGTCCATGATTCTGCTCTGCCGCAGGTGTGTTAGTAGGCTATTAACCCTTTTTTGTTATTTTTTAAACCCTCATGTATGCCCTCCGGTCCGGCGGGACGTTAAACACGTGGCTCAGTGGTTAGAGAGCCTGGCTCCTAATCTCGAGGTCTCGGGTTCGAACCTCGCTGAAGTCGAAAGCGCTCAAAAATACTCGAGCGGCTCATTGGTGCGGCCCACCCACGTTGTCGCCCAATCGAGTGGTAGGGGGGTTTCGGTGGTTTACCCCCTACCCGGAGAGGAGAGGAGTCTGGGTAGACCATTTAAAGGTCGTGTACTGCGCACTGCAGTGCTTGAAATCCCGGACCCGCACACCTTTCTTCATGCCCTCTTGTGCGACGTAGTCGCCTGTGCACACCATGTAACCCTCTTCTTCTTCTTCATGCCCTCTTGTGGTGCCTGTGCTGGTGGAGCAGGTGGCGGTACGTGCGGCACTTGGTGCTTTTTGGGATGCGCTTGCTGACTTTGCCGCTACGGCCAGTGTAACAGGACCTGTTACTATCCATGTATTGGATGATTAGACTAAGTGACTCATACGTTCCTTATGAGGACACGCGGCAGTCAATGTGACATTGTACTGCCATGTTAG